TTTCGATTTACGAATTTACAAGTTTTCAGTTCATAGTTTCGCAATTTTTCGGTTTGGTTTTTATTTTCATAATATTTTTAATTATTACATTTTTCAATATTTTCGGTTTTGTAACTTTTTGTTTTTTCAATTTCAGTTTTTCGTTTCTTGAATTTTTCTCTTTTTTCTTCTTCAGTTCTACAATTTTTCAATTTGCAATTTCTCCAGTTATCAATTTTTAATTTTCCAATTTTTCAGTTGTTCAATTTTCCATTTCCTCAATTTTTTTCAGTTCGGTATTTTATTTTCTTTATTTTTTCAATTTTTCGGTTTTTTCAATGTTCTGATTTTTCAGTTTTTCGATGTACAATTTTTCGGTTTACAATTTTTCGATTTTTCTGTTTTTCGTTTCTTCAATTTTTGATTTGTAATTTTTCTTGAGTTTATTTTAAATATGTAATAATACTTAATAATCATCTTAAAAAGTTTTCACATCTAATTTTACGATTTAAAAATTCTTCCATTTTTCAGTCATGTATTGGATTTTAAATCGTTTTCAGTTATTTGATTTTTTGATTTTTTTATTCGATTTTCCGTGTTTTCTCGATTTTTCAATTTCTGATTGCCCGACTTTTCAGTTTTTCGATTTTAGATTATTCGAATTTCGATTTTTCCATTTTAATTAGATGTTTCAATTTTTCGAGATTTCGAAATTTCAAATTTCGGTTTTTTCCATTTTCGATTTTCTTTTGTTCGATTTCTTGATTTTCGAATTTCCGTGCTTTCAATTTTCCATTTTTCGAAATCTCCACCATCGAGTTTCCGATTTTTCTGTTTTCGATTATAAAATTTTTGTATTTTTCGATTATCGATTTTTCTAATTTCCGTGTTTTCTGATTTTCGATTTTTTTTAAATTTCAAATTTCGGTTTTTTCCATTTTCGATTTTTCTATTCTTCGATCTTTCGTTTTTCGAATTTCCGTGTCTTCAATTTTCAATTTTTCCATTTTTCAGTTTTACAATTTTTCGAATTTCTGAATCTTCGAATTTCCATTTTTCTCAATTTTTCCATTTTCAATTATTATATTTTTCGAATTTTCGATTTTTCGATTTTCAGTTTTTCAATTATTCGATTTTCCGAATATCGATTTTTTTGATCTTCAATTTTTCGAATTTTGATGTTTCCAAGTTACAAATTTTCAAATTTCCCTTTTTTGAATTTCGATTTTGCAGTTTTTAAATTCCAATTTTTCATTTTTCAAATTTCAATTTTTGATTTTCAATTTTTCGAATTTTTGAATTTCCAGTTTTTCTCTTTTCCGAATTTTTGATTTTCTGTTTCTCGAATTCCAATTTTCGATTGTCCAATTTGTCTATTTTTCATAATGGAAATTTTATAGTTTTCGGTTTTTCGATTTCCAGTTCTTCAATTATTCGATTTTTCCAATATCGATTTTTTGATCTTCAATTTTTCGATTTTTATTGTTTCGAAGTTACAAATTTTCAAATTTCCCTTTTTTGAATTTCAATTTTACAATTTCCGTTGTTCGATTTTAGATTTTTCAATTTTACGATTTTTCAGTTTTAAATTCCAATTTTCGATTTTTCAAATTTCAATTTTTCGATTGTCAATTTTTCGAATTTTTGAATTTCCAATTTTTCGATTTTTGATTTATCAATTTTTCGTTTTTTCGAATTTTTGATTTTCTGTTTCTCGACCAATTTTCGAATGTCCAATTTTTCTATTTTTCGATTTTCGTATGTTAAATTTCAATTTTTCAAATTTTTCATTTTTCTATTCGATATTTTGAATTTACATTTTTCGAAATCTCCATCTTCGAGTGTTCAATTTTTGAATTTTTGACAAAACCGATTCCATTTTCTATTTTTCTATTCTTTGGTTTTTCGAATTTTTGATTTTCTGTTCGTCGAATTTCAATTTTCGATTGTCCAATTTTTCAATTTTTCGATTTTCGAATGTAAAATTTTCAATTTTTCAAATTTTTGATTTTTCTATTCAATATTTCGATTTTTCCATTTTCGATTGTTAAATGTTCCTATTTTTCGTATTTTTGATTTTTCGAATTTCTGTTTTTTGGTTTTCGAATACTATATTTGATTATAGAATTTTCGTTTTTCTATTTTTCGAGGTTACGAATTTTTGAGTTTCCGTTTTTTCGATTTTCTGAGTTTTCGAATTTTCGAATTTCCAGGTTTTCAGTTGTAGATTTTTCAATTCTCAAATTTTAGAATTTCCTTGTTTTCGATTTTTCAAATTTCAATTTTTCGAACTTTTGAATTTCCAGTTTTCCGTTTTTTCGAATTTTTGATTTTCTGTTTCTCGAGTTTCAATTTTCGATTGTCCAATTTTTTAATTTTTCGATTTTCGAATGTAAAATTTTCAATTTTTCAAATTTTGGATTTTTCTATTAAATATTTCGACTTTTCCATTTTCGATTGTTAAATTTTCCTATTTTCTGAATTTCTGCTTTTTGGTTTTCGAATACTATATTTGATTATAGAATTTTCGTTTTTCTATTTTTCGAGGTTACGAATTTTTGAGTTTCCGTTTTTTCGATTTTCTGAGTTTTCGATTTTCGAATTTCCATGTTTTCAGTTTTAGATTTTTCAATTCTCAAATTTTAGAATTTCCTTGTTTTTGATTTTAGATTTTTCAATTTTTCGAAATTTTGAATTTCCAGTTTTTCGTTTTTTCGTATTTTTGATTTTCTGTTTCTCGAATTCCAATTTTCGATTGTCCAATTTGTCTAGTTTTCATAATGGAAATTTTATAGTTTTCGATTTCTCAATTTTTCCATTTTCAATTACTTATTCAACTTTTCAAATTTTCGATTTTTCGATTTCCAGTTTTTCAATTATTCGATTTTTCAAATATCGATTTTTTGATCTTCAATTTTTCGAATTTGGATGTTTCGAAGTTACGAATTTTCAAATTTCCCTTTTTTGAATTTCTATTTTTCAATTTCCGTGTTTTCGATTTTAGATTTTTCAATTTTACGATTTTTCAGTTTTTAAATTCTAATTTTCGATTTTTCAAATTTCAATTTTTCGTTTTTTCGAATTTTTGATTTTGTTACTCGACCAATTTTCGAATGTCCAATTTTTCTATTTTTCGATTTTCGTATGTTAAATTTTCAATTTTTCAAATTTTTCATTTTTCTATTCGATATTTTGAATTTACATTTTTCGAAATCTCCATCTTCGAGTTTTCAATTTTTGAATTTTTGACAAAACCGATTCCATTTTCTATTTTTCTATTCTTCGGTTTTTCTATTTTTCGTTTTTCGAAAAAATTAGATTTTTCAATTCTCAAATTTTAGAATTTCCTTGTTTTCGATTTTAGATTTTTCAATTTTACGATTTTTCAGTTTTTAAATTCCAATTTTCGATTTTTCAAACTTCCAGTTTTTCGATTTTCGTTTTTTCAAATACGTATTTGATTAATCGATTTTCAATTTACCAAAATATCGATCTTTGAATTTTCGTGTTTTCAAATGTTTGATTTTTCGATTTTCAAGTGTTACATACGATTTTCAATTTTTGTTAAATTATTTAAACTTTAAATTAGCGATTTTTGAATTTTGGTCTTTTCGATTTTTGGATTGTTCGATTTTTCGATGTTTGATTTCAGGTTTACAATTTTTCGAACTTTTGAATTTATGATTTTTCCAATTTTCAATTTTTCAAAATCCCTTTTTTCGACGTTTCAAATATTTGAATTTCATTTTGGTTTTTTCAAGGTTTTCATTTGATTTGATTTTCGATTTTTCAATTCATTAATTTCTGGAAGTTCGATTTTTGATGTTTCGAACTTTCAGATTTCCGTTTTTCGATTTTCAATTTTTCTATCCTTCAATTTTACGATTTTTCGACTTTTCGAATTCCGATTTTTCCATTTTTGGTTTCCCAATTTTTCGATTTTCAATTTTTAAGTTGCAATTTTACTGGTTTTCATTTTAAATATGTGACAATAATTATAAATTTAAAAACTTCACTTTTTCAACTCTACGATTTTAAAATAATCCTATTTTTCAATTATGTATTGGATGATTCTATAATTTTGGGTTTTCCAATTTTTCTTCTTTCCAGTTTCTGGATTAATTATTTTTTTCTCGATTTTTAGTTTTTCAATATTTCAATTTTTCGTTTCTTCAGTTCTTCGATTTGCAATTTTTCGATTTCTCAATTTTTCAACTTTTCAAATCAAAAAAATGGAGAAACCGCAGAATTGTAAAATTGAAAAATCAGAAATGAAAAAAGAAAAAAGTATAATATGAAAAGTTTCAAAAATCAAAAAATTGGAAATCAAAAACTTGAAAATTTTAAGAAACGAAAAATTGAAACATTGAAGGATTAAAAATTGAATTAAAAATCTAAGAAATCGGAAAATCGGAAAAATGAAAATGAAAAACGAAAAATTGTGATATAAAAAAATTAGTCGAAGACAAATAAATCCACAGTTTTCGAATAATTATAAGATTCGATTTTGCGAATTTAAGTTTTTGTAATGACCCTTATAAGTTAAAATTGTTTCAAGTGAGTTTTTCCATCAAAAATTTTGTGAAAACGTCATCAATTTTTTGGGAGGGGACAAACGAATCAATTTTAATTAACAGTTTACCATGATTACGATAACCTTAAAACGTTTAATGATGATTTTAACCTTTTTTCAAAAATCCGGATGTCCAGGGTGAAAACTCAATACTTATTCATACATCGCAAAATTTAAAAAAATATATATTGTAAATTTTGGAGTTCACGTCATCTCATGGTGTGGGGATGATTAGTCAAGTTTTTGAGATTACGTGTCTAAAAAAATCGTCAGAGACGCCAGACGGTCGACCGGAAACGGGAGATCACTTTTTTCGTACTCTATAGGTAATGAAACATCGAAAAAACCTGAAACTGCCAAGTCGCCCGATGCTCTCGATTACCACACTACCTTAGCTATAAGTAAAAATCTTCACTGACACATAACTAACCAATCTTCTTCTTTTCAGCTGAAAGCGACATTTGCACTTTCGCCGTCCTCAAACACCACTTCGCTGCCAAAAGTATCCCCCAGACCAACCTCTTCACTGCCGAAACGCGCCCGAGGGCTCTGCAGACGCTGTACGAGTCCGCCACCAAGACCCCGGTGCACCTCATGCGTCAGCTGGACCGGTGGCGTCGCGACGGTCACCGTTCGTCGCGCTTCTTCCTCTGCACGCCCGTGCTGGGGAACAAGAGACGCAAGATCAGGAGCAAGGTGGACATTGACATCGAGACTCGCATGGTGAGTGCACGTTTGTTGCGAGCGGTTTTATTGAAGAGCCCAGAGCTAACTACCTACCGTCTTTGGTTGTTTCTCCATGCGAGATGGTCTGCAATTAATCTGGCGGGCCGCGTAATACCTGCTAGTTATCGTGGCGATTTATATAGTAAAGCTGAGCGTAATCGTGAAAAATGAATGCGTAATGCTGGACAGATGGCAGGGGTGATGGCTTTTGATCTTGTTGCGTGATTCTGGGGTAATGTGAAATGTGGAATACAAGTTCTGATTCGTGTAGAGTCGTGTGTTGTTGTAATTTACTACCTGGGTTATTAGAAATTATAAAAAAACTAACTGAAACAGTTGAGCATGACTCCTACATTTGTGGTTTATGAATCCGTGTTGAGTTTTTACCTTAAACACCGGATTAAAAAAAAATCAAAATTTGTCCGTTCATACTTCCCTAAGAATTGATCTCATTTTAAAATGTTGTTAATAACTGTTATTTAAATGTTGAAAACTAAGACTCCTGAACTTGTGGTTTATGAATGTGTGTTGAATTTTTATCCTACCCATCGATATTTTTTGAGAAAAGAAATAAAAATTGTAAATATGACATTTTTTTCTATTATTCTTATTCTATTCTAAATGTTTCGATATTTCATTTTTGGGAATTTTCAATTTTTTTTTTTTCAATTTTTCGGTGTTTCACTATGAGATTTTTCAATTCTTCAATTTCTTCATTCTTCAAATCTTCGATATCTCGACTTCTTCATTTTTAGATTTCTCAGTTTTACCGATTTTTCAATTTTTTGATTTCTTAATTTATTTATTTATTTTTGATTTTCCCATTTTTCGATTTCTCGACTTTTTGATGTTTGAAATTTTCAGTTTTTCCATTCTTCGATTTTCAGGTTTTTGATTTTTCGATTTTCAACTTTGATTTTCGCTATTTCAATTCTTCAATTTTTCGATGTTTTAATTTCTCGATTTTTCAATTTTTCAATATTTTAATTTCTCAATTTTTTAAATTTTAGATCCAATTTGTCAATTTTCCGATATTCAAATCTTCGATTTCTCTCCTTATTCTTTCCTTATCAGTTCTAGATTTTTCGGTTTTTCAATTTTTCGATTAATTTTTTCTTATTTTTCGGTTTTTCACTTTTTCTGTTTCTAGATTTATCGAGATTGCGATGTTTCCACTTATTGATTTTTTTTTTAATTTCAAAATTTTCAGTTTGTAACTTCCATTTTTCGATTTTGGCGTATTTCGATTTCTCAATTGTCCGATTTTTCGATATTTCGATTTCTCGGGTTTTCGACTTTTCGATTTAAAAATTTATCGGTTTCCCAATTTTTCGTCATTTCAGTTTCGGAAGTTTTCAATCTCCCGATTTTTCAGTTTTTCGATTCTTCAACTTTTCGATTTTTCAATTTTTGCCATCGCCTAAATTTTGGCTTTTCAATTTATCAATTTGTCGATTTTACAATTTTTTAATTCCTCGATAAATTTCGATGTTTCGCTTTTTTGATTTTTCACTTTTTCGGTTTTTCGTTTTCTTTTAATCGTAAATTTTTCAATGTTTCAGTCTTTGCTATTTTAGGTATTTCGTTTTCTCAGGTTTCGACTATTCGGCTTTTCAATTTTTTACCTTTCGATTTCTCAATTTTTCCATTTTTCAGATATTAAATTTTTCAGTCATTTTATTCTTAAATTTTTCAATTTATAACTTCCGTTTTTCGATTTTGTACTATTTTGATTTCTCAGTTGTTCGATTTTTCAATTTCTCGATCTTTTTATGTTTCGATTTCTCAATGTTTCACTTTTTTAATTTTTCGATATTTTGATTTCTATATTTCTCGACTTTTCGACTTTTAAATTTTTCGGTTTCCCAATTTTGTGTCATTTTAGTTTTGGAATTGTTCAGTCTCTCGATTTTTGAGTTTTTGAATTCTCGGATTTTTCAATTTTTGGGATTGTTTTAATTTTAGCTTTTCAATTTATCGATTTCTGGAATTTTTCATTTTTTCAGTTCTTTCATATTCCTATTTTTCAATTATTCAAATTTTATGATTTTTTGATGTTTTAATTTCCTGACATCTCGGTTATTCGATTTTTAAAATATTTTTACTTTCCAATTTTTAGATTTGTCGATTTTGCATTTTGTTTTATTTTTCAATTTTTTAATTTTTTTTTTTTTTTTAATTTTTCAATATAACTTCCGTTTTTCGATTTTGTACCATTTTGATTTCTCAGTTGTTCGATTTTTGAATTTCTCGATCTTTTGATGTTTCGACTTCTCAATGTTTCAGTTTTTTAATTTTTTGGTTTCCCAATTTTGCGTCATTTTAGTTTTGGAATTTTTCATTCTCTAGATTTTTGAGTTTTTCAATTCTCCTATTTTTCAGTTTTTGCGATTGTTTACATTTTGGCTTTTCAATTATCGATTTCTGGAATTTTTGAATTTTTCAGTTCTTTGATATTCCTATTTTTCAAATTTTTAAATTTTTTCATTTCTGAATTTTTTGATTTATAAATTTTTCGTATTTCGATGTTATGATAGTTTGATGTTTGAATTTCTTGACATCTCGGTTATTCGATTTTTAAAATTTTTCCACTTTTCAATTTTTTGATTTGTCGATTTTAGAATTTTTTGATTTTTTTTTTTTTAATTTAAAATTTTTCGATTTATAACTTCGATATTGACAAACTTCAATTTTTCGATTTTTCGTCTATTCAATTTCGCGATCTTTTTTGATTTTCGCTTTTTCGATGTTTCAGTATTTATGTTCTTAAATTTTTTCGATTCTTCACATTTTCGTTTTCTCGATTTCTTCATTTTTCAATTTTCTGTTTCAATTTTTGACGTTTCTCAATTTTCAATTTTTTTTCTCAATTTTTCTTCCATTTTTCAATTTTTCGATATTTAGGTTTAGGAATTTTTCAATATTTCGTTCTTCAGTGTTTCGATTTTTTAATTTTAGAATTTTCAGTATCTTGGTTTTTCTCTTTTTGGACATTTTAAGTTTTCAATTTATCGAATTTTTAAATTTTGGGTTTGCAGTTTATTGAAGGTTCGATTTTTTGACTTCTTGGTTTTAGATATTTCGGTTTTTCAATTTTTTTTTTAATGTTTCGAATTTTCAATTATTCTACTTCTCTATTTATCGAAATCTTGAGGTTTCGTTTGATTGTTGAATTTTTTTTTTCAACTTCTCGACTTCCGATTTCCACATTTTTTGATGATTTGATTTCTGGATATTTCAATTTTTGGAACTTTTCGAAATTTTAATTTTTCAATTTCTCGGTTTTTCGTTTCCATTTTTCGTAATTTCGGTTCTGAAATTTTTCATTCCTTCGATTTTTCAATTTTCAGATTTAACAATTTTTCGATTTTTCGATTTTGATTAATTTTGATTTCTCAATTTTTTGACTTTTCAATTTCTCGATCTTTTGAATTTCGATATTTCAGTGTTTGGATTTTTCGGTAGTTCGATTGCTCAATTTTTCGATTTTCCGCATTTTTCAGTCTCTTTAATCTTAAATTTTTCGATTTCCCGATTTTCAGTTTTTCGATTTCTCAATTGTCTGCTGTTTCTAGATTTTCAATTTTATTTCTCAACGTTTCTCGATTTATCGATTTCACGATTTACTTTTTCAATTTTCAAATTATAGAGTTTTCAATTTCTCGGTTGTTCTATTTTTCGATATTTTAATTTTTCAATTTATTGAATTTTTACATTTTGGGTTTTGCAGTTTATTGAAGGTTCAATTTTTCAATTTTTTGACTTTTTGGTTTTAGATATTTCGGTTTTTCATGTTGAATTTTTTTATTTTTTTTTTCAACTTCTCGACTTTCGATTTCCACATTTTTTGATGATTTGATTTCTCGATGTTTCACTTTTTGAACTTTTTGAAATTTTGATTTTTCGATTTCTCGGTTTTTCGTTTCCATTTTTCGTAAATTCGGTTCTGAAATTTTTCATTCCTTCGATTTTTCAATTTTTGCGGTTGTTTAAATTTTGGATTGTTGATTTCCCGATTTTTCAATTTTCAGACTTAACAATTTTTTGATTTTTCGATTTTGATTAATTTTGACTTTTCAATTTCTCGATCTTCTGATTTTCGATATTTGGATTTTTCGGTATTTCGATTGCTCAATTTTTAGATTTTTCGCATTTTTCAGTCTCTTTATTCTTAAATTTTTCGATTTCCCGATTTTCAGTTTTTCGATTTCTCAATGTTCTGCTGTTTCTAGATTTTCAATTTTATTTCTCAACGTTTCTCGATTTATCTAATTCACGATTTACTTTTTCAATTTTCTAATTATAGAGTTTTCAATTTCTCGATTGTTCTATTTTTCGATATTTTAATTTTTCAATTTGTAAAATTTTATATTTTTCAATTCCCCGATTCTTTAATTTTTCAGTTCTTTGACTTTACAATTTATCCAATTTTTAAATTTTGGGTTTTGCAGCCTTTTGATGTTTCGATTTTTCGATCTTTGAATTTTTTGACTTCTCACTTTTTGGATACATATTTCCATATTTTGATTTTTTTCAGTTTTGAAACTTTTCAATTTCTGAATTTTTCAATTTTTCAGTTTCAATAACTCAAATTTTTGTTTTCTCTATTTTTTCCTTTTTCGATTTCTCAATTTTCTGCTGTTTCAATTTAAGTTTTGCGTTTCTAACTTTTCAATTTTTAAATTTCTCATTTTTCGATTTTTCAATTTTTTTATTTCTCAGTATTTCGATGTTTCAGTTTTGGGATTGTTCAGTTCTTCGATTGTTCAATTTTTCTTCCATTTTTCAATTTTTCGATATTTAGGTTTTGGGATTTTTCAATATTTCGATCACTGCTTTAGCTTTTGGATTTTTCGATTTCACGATTTTTTACTTTTTGATTTTTAAATTTTTTGATATTTTAATTTTTCAATTTTTAAAACTTTTGATTTTTCGATTTCTCCATCAATTCCAATTTTTCAGTTCTTCGATTTTTCAATTTATCGAATTTTTAAATG